TACCAGTCACACAAGAGATACTGCAGAAGTGCCTGGACGCGTTGTCCAACAAACTCCTAGACAACCTAAACAAATCAATAGCAGAGATAAAGAAAGACGTGCGCGAGTTAGGGGAGCGCACGGCTAGGGCGGAAAACAAAATGGACGAATTTGCGGAGGCCCACAACGATATGGCAGACCATGTCCAAAGGTTAGAACACCAACAACACCAACTCCAAGTGAAAATAATGGACATTGAAGACCGCTCGAGAAGGCAAAACATACGACTAAGGGGGATCCCCGAAGAAGTAAAGCACCCAGATTTGGCGGAATACTTAACAAGCCTCTTCCAAGCCATGTCACCAGACTTACCTACAGACATGCTGCTGATCGATACGGCTTACAGGGTGGCAAAATCTAAATTCCTACCGGCCGAAGCACCAAGGGATGTCCTAGCAAAATTACATTACTACCATATTAAGGAAGAAATTATGCAAGCTTCCAGAAAACGCAGAGATATGCCTGAAAAATATAAGTCCATACAACTCTACTCAGACCTCTCTGCCCTGACTCTGCAAAAGCGCAGGGAATACAAAGACATCACAGAGACACTCAGAGCAAGACAGGTGCCATACCGGTGGGGTCACCCGGTCCACCTCCTGATCCAGAGAAACGGAACGGTAACCACCATCCTGTCCACAGACGAAGGCAGAAAAACCCTCAGGACCTGGGGGATAGCACTGCAGCAACAGCCGGAAAAAACACATGCTACAGAGAGGCTGTCGCCTGAGTGGAAGAAACAGCGCAAGTGAACGCCCGATGAAGACGATACACCGACGGGTTTGATTAAAGAATTACATGCATATGTACCATAGACTTTTAATGGTGTAGATCTATGGTTTAATTATATGACCAAGTAGCATACTTATTTGTTAAACTATGCACAGAGTTCAATGTTAATGCGAGGCTCTGCCCTGCTAAAGTTCTGTAGATTTTTCCGTCGAATTGACGAAAATATGTAAATGCTGATTGCATTCGTTCACCTCCTAGTGGACGTTCTAATACTAAAGCAGAAGCAGCATAAGTTATAGATTCGATAATAGTAATTTAACGTCACCAAAGATAAAAAAAAACAAAAAAACCTGACATCGAAGGGACTGCTAGCCACGACAGTTAAAACACTAGGAGGCAGCACCAAAGCTAGACGAGAGGAGCTATATGTTGTAGTTTGTTGAGCTCAAAGGTTAACAACAGGGAAAAGCTGGCTGCATAAGTGTGCCCCAGAAGGCTGTACATTAACCAGAGGGAGACAGTTAAAAAGTATGGGTTGTAGACTAAACAATTGCAATTGTGTACAATTGCCAGTAACGGGATGGCAATGGCGACCCAGCTGTAGCCCCTGAGAGGCAGCAACAATAGCCGGGCGAGGGAAGTTATATGTTAAGCGCTATCAAAGTGACAAACGACACTATAGCTAAAGGATATAAATGTAGAAATGCTAGCCGCGTCAGCAGACCTCCTAAGAGCAGCAGCAGGAATGTTATATGTTACAGGTTATAAGTCTGACAGTTGAAACTTTGTCTTGATGTTACAAATGTCAGTCTCAATGTATTAACATGCAATGTGGGTCAGCCATGGGAACGAGGTGTGCAGACTGGCCTTACACTTGAGATGACATCGAACCTGATTTATAGAGATAACACACACTAAAATACAAGACCCCACGCACGAGAAGCAGGAACGGGACACCAATAGGGTCTAAGGGTCTAAATGATTTGACATGTTCCTGGTTCCGAATCACACCTGACTCTATCGGTATCATATCTCTCATCACCAGAAACGAAAGGGCTAAGCCAAACGCTGACGTACGAAGTTAAGAATCATTCCACGACCCCCAGAGGTTATACGGAATAGTAACCACACCCAGATTTGGGTATTAGTAGTGACGACTACCGTTATGTTCTCCCCCAGTTACTCCCCCATGCCCCTTAACCCGCTATTCATTACCCTATCCGCCACAGTAAAACGACCCACGACAGCCTACAACCATGACCTCAAACAACCAACCTCTGAGCGAGTTGATTTCAAGCTCAGGGAGAAGCCAAATACACAGATTAGCCTCCTGGACAATGCCATATTAAAGAGCAATAACAATAAAACCCCTGTGACAGACAGCTATTACCTACTGAAACCCTAATATGAAAGTATACTCTCATAACGTAAAAGGTCTAAACACACCGTATAAACGCCACTGACTCTTGAAACAAGAGCAAGTGGAGATAATTTGCCTCCAGGAAACACATTTTAAAACACACCCAACTCTAAGGCCAGACTTATTCCCACACCAATACCACGCAACAACGGGACATAAATCCAAAGGAGTGACAATATTAATTAGCAACAAAGTTGCATTCACACACCACGACTCCTATATCGACCCCCTGGGCAGATACATGATATTAGTATGCACCATCAATAACGACTTGTATACTATAGTCTCAGTCTACGCACCGAATACAGACCAAAGGAATTTCCTTCACAAGCTGTTAGCTAAGATAACACAACTACAGAAAGGAATGCTGATCCTATGTGGTGACTTCAATCATATTACAGACCCAAAGCAAGATACCACAGCACAACTTAGCTCCAGAACAAGATCAAAACAAATCCAAGCGTGCACAACATATCAGAAACTACTAGATGAACATCAACTATACGATATGTGGAGAGTACTTAATCCACAAATAAAAGACTACACTTACTACTCAGCCCCGCACAAAACGTACACACGTATAGACAGATTACATATCCACAGACAACACCTAGACCAGTTACTCGACAGCAATATCAACACAATCAGTTGGTCGGATCATGCAGCTATAACACTAACGATTAAAGATCAATATGACTTCAAGCACAAGAGCCCATGGAGACTTAATGAATCCCTATTACAGAACCCGATGGTCACTAAACATCTAGAGGAAGAAATCACACAATATTTCAACACGAACAATACAGAGCAAACTAAGATAGACACGGTATGGCAGGCGCACAAACCAGTCATTAGAGGCTTGCTGATCCAAAAAGCAGCGAGGACTAAGCGTGACACCCAGGCGCAATGGATAAAATGGAACACTCAACTGACAGACCTCACCACCAGAAACAAAACATCCCCGACAGACTCACTGCAAACCCAAATCAAGGATGTACAAGACAAAATTAAAGAATACACACTACAAAGAGTGAGCTATAATATACATAGACTCAAACAACAACAATACACACAAGGCAACAAAGCAAGTAAATTACTGGCATCTAGACTCAAAAGCAGAGTAACCAATAGAAGGATACCATACATAATAGATCAGAATAACAAAAAACTCATTTCCCTAGTGGAGGTGAGCAACGCCTTCGCCTTCTACTACAAAGGGTTATATAACCTAGAGACCTCAGACCACTTAAAACAGAGTGATGAAGATATACATGCTTACCTAGCAAACACTCAATTACCGACACTATCACCCACTCAGATATCAGAATTAACAGCCCCCGTGACAACACATGAGGTAGAAGTTGTAATAAAAGCGCTGCCGAAAAACAAAGCACCAGGCCCTGACGGCTTCACAAACCTTTACTACCAAAAATGTCAACACATTTTATTACCTTACCTTGCGCAACTATTTAACTATGCCACTCAAACAGGTACACTCCCTAAGGAATTACTAATGGCACATGTTATCACCCTCCCCAAGCCAGGCAAACCACCGACTCACTGCCCCAACTTCCGTCCAATATCGCTCCTCAACACTGATGCCAAGCTATACGCCAAAGTCCATGCACAACAACTGAGTTGCATACTACCCCACCTGATACATACTGACCAAGTGGGCTTTGTAGCTGGAAGGCAGGGGTCAGACAACACACGTAAGGTACTGGACCTGGTACACAGTGTGAGGAGGGGGGGAAATCTGGTGTCCCTAGACGCTGAGAAGGCCTTCGACCGACTCAGTTGGTCCTTTCTGCAAGCTGTACTACACAAATTTTCGTTCCCACAGCAATTCATTAATGTGATCAGAGCCCTATACAACCAACCTACAGCCAAAGTTGTGACAGCTGGATTCTGCTCGGACACCTTTAAGATCATGAATGGGACGAGACAAGGCTGCCCGCTGTCACCTTTGCTATACGTCTTAGCATTAGAACCACTAGCAGCCAAAATTAGAGACGAAATCTCCATAAAAGGGGTCACGCTTGGAACTGAGGAATATAAATTAAGCATATTCGTGACAACATCTTTTTGACACTGACAGAACCATTTATCTCACTGCGCAACCTTATGAAACACATAGAACAATATGGGAAATACTCCTATTACAAGCTCAACTTAGCCAAAACACAGGCTATGGGGATTAATATACACAAACAACAAATGGAAACACTAAAGGAGAAATTCCCCCTGGACTGGCGAACAGACTTCCTAAACTTCCTAGGCCTCAAAATCGTGAAAAATCCAGCAAACCTTTTCAAGCTCAACTACTTAAGTAGTTTATCGAACTTTAAAGACATTCTGAAAACTTGGGAAGGGAAATACATATCTTGGGTAGGCCGTATAACAGCAGTAAAAATGACACTCCTACTTAAACTCCAATATCTGTATAGAACCTTACAAATCCCACTGCCCAAAAGCTTCTTTCTCACAGCCCAAAACTTACTCCTTAGATTCGTGTGGCAAAACAAAAAAATTTAGAATAGCCACAAAGCTTATACAAAGAGAGGTAATCAAAGGTGGTCTAGGGTTCCCTGACATACAAACTTATTACAAAGCAGCAATCCTCCATACAATATCACAGCTCAAACCACGACCTGACCAACCACAATGGCTTGGGATAGAATCCCACTGGGCCCACCACTCCACAATTTACTCATACCTCTGGACCCCAAAACATTGCAGACCCACAACACACCACTTGCTCCCCACATCCCAATTACTACTCGAAATATGGGACTCAGTAAAGAACAGCATGACGGCCTACCAGCCAATACCCCTAGCGACCCCAATGGATGTAATGTCCAGGATAATACCCACACTAGATCAAAAAAGATGGTTAGAACACGATATCAAACATATTGAACAGCTATATGACGGGTGGGAAATCATGCAATTCCCGGCACTGCAAACCATGTACAATCTCCCCAGTCGAATCCTGTTTCCGTACCTGCAACTTAAGTCATGCCTGGAGCACACCCGACCCCAAACACTACACGATGAACCACACCAGAAATTATCTACTTTTGAAAAAATCTGCACAAACGCACTGCCCCCAAAAAGGTGATATCACTGTGCTATAATACACTCCCAGACTAAAATAAAAATCACATATAAACATGCTGGCACAAAGAATTGAACTGAACAATTAGTGAGGAACATTGGACAAGAGCGTACTCATCACAGAGAGGCATCACTTCATGCACTAATCACTTAGAACTCCAAAGAAAAATACTATATCGCTGGTACCTGGTGCCAGATAGGATTCACAAATATGGCCACAATCCTCCACAAATCAATGCTGGAGGTGCAAGAAACAGGTGGGGACGATGTTAGACACATGGTGGACCTGTGATATCATACAACCATTCTGGCGCAAGGTTGCGCATCTCATTCAGCAAATAACGAACGCCAACATAGAACCCACGGTAGAGATGTGCCTCTTATATATACACCACCAGAAAACTTAACTAGAGCTCAATGGGCAGCTATCTACCATATTTTAATATCAGCCGCAATGGTGATAGCTAGATTATGGAAATCACCTTCTGCACCGAACTTCAATACCCTCCTCAATCAAATCAACACTAACTGGCAATATGAATCAATGCTTGTACATCAAAGAGGCCTGAACAAATCAATGGCAAAAGCCAACTTGATTTGGAAAGAATATTGGGAGGCTAACAAAAGCCGTTCACACCTCACCAAACCCCGAAAAAATTCTCCCGATGCCTTAGCGATCACCGGTACACTCACATAAGGTACCACAATGGTTTGAAACCCCACCATGGCCCAAAGCAAATAGGGCTAGCTCATATTCTCATGTTCACAAGACACTGCTTATAACACCACTCATAAGTGTATAAAGTCAAATGGATTTGAGGAGAAGAGGTAGGGAGACAAACACCAAATCACTAGTTGCAGGGGGTAGACTAGTCAAAACACAGTCATAACCCAGAAGAACAGAGGCTAACAACCAACAGGAAACAAGTCATGGGCCAATCAGGGGGCTACTGCTCAACAAGGTATAAAGGACCCTTTATGAATGATATAATACTGATGGCAACCCCTCTCCACTTTCCTCCCCCCCCCAACCATCCCACCACGCATAAGCAATACTAATATTACAATGGATATGTAACGTTATTGACAATGCTGTACAACGTGTTTTACCCCCCCCTCCCCCTCTTTCTTCTGTACCCCATTCTTTGTGAAAATAAAAATTGTCAAATTGAAAAAAAAAAAAGATGTTTCTGCTAAGCTAATACCGATAACAGATAGACAGGGATGCAACGCCCTCGTGTGGTTTGGAATAGTGACATCGAGCATGTCAGAACAGCAGGATTTGCTTGCTTCAATGAACAGATAACGGATACTAATCAGCCTTTATTGTTTCAATTTGCTGGACTTTCTTTTAAAAGTAAAAAAAAAAAAAAAAATCTGTTTTATCTTTTACATTCCATTCAGCAAGCTGTGACAATATGCCAATAGGCATCCAAGAATTTTACTGCACAACTGAGTAATTGAATTTTAATTAAATTTAATTTAAACTGTAATAATTCTATCAATGGAGTTTATTTACTAAATGCCAGATTGCAGTGAATTGAAGACTTGAAGGTATATTCCTTACCTATAGTGCCTTCTGGTCGACCTCCGTTCCTTATCTTAAACTTTATCTTAAGTATCTTAAACACTGCAAGAATTTTTCATTGCAGG